GCTCACGGTATGAGCGGCCCTTGAGCTCAGGGAGGCCGAAGTATGCGCTGATGAAGCAGACGCAAGCTGTACCGCCCCACACGTATCCACACTTCCCAGCCATGTTCCAGCCCGTGGGATTGAGCATCTGCGAGGCTAAGTAGATCATGGGAATCTCGGCGACATAGTATGCGGCTCGGCCAACACCAGTGCTTAGCGCGCGGAGACGGACGGATGATGTTTCCGCGATGATGGAGTATGAGATCGGACCCATGGCTCCTGCGAAGACGAACGAGATGACGATGCCCAAACAAGCTTGGGCGTAGTTGGTCGCGCTGCTCTGGGGGATAGAAGCGCAGATCCCGAGAACGAAGAGCAGGCAGATGTTGATGGCGGTGCCCCCGAGATAAATTGTGCGGCGGCCGAAAAAGTTGCTGAGAGGCCACGCGCAGATGTTGGCTACCAGCTGCAGGCACGAGTTGATCAAGTTAAGCTTGAATGAGAAGTCAGATGACATTCCAGCCTCTGCGGATAGTCAGCTTTGCATCTCTAAGGGCTGTGGCGATTCTTGACTTACGCTCGAAGAAGAATGTTGCTTGGTTGGCAATCAGGTTGCCGGCGAAGTTCTGAGACGCGTAGATCAAGCAGGTAATGAGTGTTCGGCGAAGGTCGACTCCCTTCACGAGGTCGAGCAGGGAAGGCTCGCCGCCCTTGTGTGCTTCGATCTGTACTGTGCGTTCCATCATAGCAAGCGTGTCTTCGGCGGCCGCTTGAGTTCCGTTTCTACGACCAAGGCGCTTGATGGACTTCAGCGCCTGTTCCTTGCGCCCTCTGCGCACTAGCCACCATGGCGACTCGGGTGCAAAGAAGATGAGAACCATAAGAGGGGTCTATGACTGTCAGCTATCGTAAGGAAACATACGAACGATGTACTTACGGGAAACACCCACTGTAGGGCCAGAGGACCTCTCCACGCCCACTCGTCGTTCCGCTTGTTGTAGCTGTAGGTCGCAGCAGCGACAATGATGCTTCCAATAGACCAAGACATCTGAAGTGTAGCCGTGCAGGCACCACGAAGAACCAGAGGGACGACCTCACTGGCGTAGGCCGGCGAGTTGGCGATGAACATGCCCCATGGGATACCTTCGAAAGCTTGCCCAATGACGAGAACCGCGAGCGAATCCGCCTGGATATTGTCAGTCCATGAAATCACATCTGGGATGGAATACTTACGAAGAAAGAGATGAAGATTGTCGCATTCATCAGCATGAGTGCCAGTAAAGTAGTCCAGCGGTAACCAAGACGGTTGGTGATTGGGCCAGCGAGAAAGACTCCAATGAAAGCACCGCATTGGCCGGCTTGGAAGAGTGAACTCTGCCATTTGGTGGGAATGGTCTTGCCGACTTCGCCAGCGACTTGCACGCCATATCGTTCTTTGAACGCCGCAAGAGCAACAAAGTTACCGTTCAAAAACATGTCGAAAGACTCCATGACCTGTTCGGTGTCAGCAAAATCTTCTTGGAGATGCTAGCAGGGGCCTAGGACTCACGATAGTAAAGCAGAAGATGAAAGCCCAAAAGCAAGCCATGGGGTGGTCCCTCATGGCCTCCCACATTCCCATATCATGTTCGCGGCTTTCAGCTGCCTGCGCATCTGTCATGAGCTCCTTGTCCTCGAAGATCTCAGCCTGGCGACTGAGGCTCTTCTCCAGGACTCCATCGTCGACCGCAGGGGTACCATCTCGCTTGGGTTCGGCAAAGCCCGCCATTTCGAGTTAGCGTGTAAGTTGATTGGACGCCACGAAGAGCAAAGAACGAATAAGCAAAAGCCGATGCCAGAAGCCAAGCAGACATGGTGAGCTTGGAGAGCTTATATACTGTATGCACTCTAGATTCGACCTCGGCGTGGGTACGCTCTGCTATCATCAACCCACTTGAACCCACGGGGCCCCGCGACAAGCTTTCAAGGGTGCTTGTCACGTTGATGGGTCTTGATTGGCGGGTCTCTGGGGTAGGAGGAGGCCGGGGTCCGAGCAGAGCCGCGCAGCACTCTCTAGCCTGAAACGTCATGCTATGGAGACCTGCTATTGATGCGAAATTCGAAAGCTAGGAAATAGTTGTAGCTTGTTTGGGTGATCTTGCCGTACAACAGTGGATAGAAGAGCCGCGCGACACAAGTGTTGCGGAAGTACTCCCTCAAGCACATTAGTGAGGCTGGAAAGTGGGATGACAACGTCGGTAGACCTCGTGTGCGCGGTGTACATGAGGCGAATGGGAATGCTGCGGAAGTATGCAGGAGTGCTATCTCCGATCTCACTTGTTACTGATGGCCATCAAAATCAGACTCAAAGGAGGGTAGTAAGCCCGCTACCGACCACGATTGTTGTTGATGATTGCTATGCCTTCAATTGCGCGAGTTTTGAGCTCAAGGTTCCACCCCCATGGAGAAATTCTGGGGACTACGAACTTCTTTGCAGGGTATCGCCTGTAGACCCCAAGTCCAGATTCTCGATCGACCTGAGATCGCCTGTGTGCACAGCAATGGACTCGTACGAGCGGCCAATGTCGGAGACTACGGCCAGTCATGGGCAAGCGTCGGTGGATCCATGAGCACTATGAATCCTCAATGGCATGATTCCCAATACACTTAGTCTGTGGAGCAAGTGTCATTCGTAGGCAGTATCCGTTGGAGAAGACAAGAGATTCATCCAACGCGGTAAGAGCTACGGACGCCGACGGGATACAACTTGCAAACAAACAACCACCAACACATTGATCTGACGAGGAATTCCCAGTGTTCTGGGTAGGTTTCCGTCTGGGTACATGGTTTCTGTTTGTATCGCATAGTAATCAAAGGTGCGGCAGTTTGCGAAATAAGTCTGCGCTGCGCCTTCTAGAAGCCAGGTCGGCAGGCATCAGCGTCCAGCACGTATACCGCTTTCAGGAAGCGGGCCGCATGCCACTGTTGACAATCGCACGTGAGACTGAAACCCCTCAGTGATGTTTTGTCCTAGTCACGACTGTTGCTCGCTCAAGCAGTGAAGGCGGATTGTTCGCAAGCCATTATTCAGCTGCATGGCTGAGAGTCATGACGTAGCTGCGACTGGTACGTCTCTCAAACATTAACGGGTGAGTTCAACATCGGTCCGATATCTCTTGTAAGATACCGCCTGAGCGTTCACAGGCCCCGCGAGGTCTTCACTCCCGGTTCGCAGGGTTGTCTGTGAGCAAATTCCGTAAACACATTGAGTCATGCCGTACCACATTGAAAGCTTCTGCGACGAAGCTCCAAGACAGTGACTTTTCAGTCAGTAGCCGTCTAAGCGTAGCATCTTTCGACGCAGAAGTCCGTTGTGTCACCTTGTTTCAGGAAAACCTGAACACCCTGGAGCCTACATTAACATGTAGAGATGCAAGATATGCAACCAGACATCAACATAGGCTCTAGGGTGTCCAGTTTCCTTTTTGAATGGGGTTCTGCGAAACACATGTTCTAAGACTAGTATTTCGATCCGAGTAACAATTCTGGAGATTAACTGATTTGCGATGATGGACCTGCCGAACATCCGGGCTGCATGTACTGGATTATGCGTGCATTAGATCCAGTGTGTATGACACACTGACTTATATCCGGGTACAATCCCGCAGATGCGAGCTTCCTCTCTCACAAGGCTGCTTCCTGAACGAGAAGGCGCTCTGACAATACGCAGCCAGCAGCGGGAAGCCCAGATCGCGCCATAACGATAACGGGAGCTCATTAGACAGTCTTGGAGAAGATCACCAGCGCATGTATGGATGAGACTCATCGTATTCCTGTAATGGCCCAGCGGCTTCCACGCACGGTATTGGCAGGCGTCCTGAGCCGACGAGGCAGCGGCGAGCCAGACGACATGACGCAGAAACGCCACGGCGGCACGGCTGGGGGCTGACAAACAAGGGAAAGCGAGGGCCTTGATATAGCTGCAGCAAGGCTATACAGTCAAGCACGCACGTGGCGGGCTGAAATAAAAGCATGTGGGTGGCATGATAATGGCGGGGGAGATGCACGCGAACTGACTGCCGAAGCTAGCTCTTCTTAGCGTGCCAGTAGCGCCGCATCGGACCGCCTTGTGCTCGCCTCGCCTCCATCTTTATCGCGTCCATCTTCTCTTTCGTGCAACACCAAGAACGCCCTTACCACAACAGGGCCAGGTCGACAGGCTGTCAAAGCAAGTTCCCGATCTTTTCGGAACCCCACGCGCCTGCAGCTGTACAGCCTAGTGGATGTCTCTACCCACGACCCCACCAGGAAGGAAACAGCGTCCATACTCTCCATCTGCGTTCCGCGATTGGCTGGACGGAGACGAGAACGACCTCCCCGGCCTCACGTTTGTGCCTGAGGCCCTTCTTTTGTGTTGGCGAGCAGATTTCCGCCGTCATGAAGCAAACAGTCCCAGATAGCGCCACCAGGCTGCGAAGTTCCAGGCCGATAGGTCACAGTTTGCTCGCTCTCCAACCATACACCTAACGGTATTGTCGCTGCGGCTGTAATGCTCTCGCTGTCGGTGCCTATTTTGGAGATGTCGAACGCCCTGTTGCAGCTCGCTTGTGGCGGTGAGCAGTAGAAGTCGAGCTGTCGTTTCCAGCGTTCTAACCTGGGTGGCAAGGATAGACATCGCATCGTATGATTGGACGCTTTCGCTTGGAAGCAGGGATTCATTCCACGGTACGTTTGATACATGTACGGGAGAGTGGAGAATCACTACCGTGGAGAGGGTCGACCATGGCCCTATGCATTACGTCTTCTTCCGTAAAGATACGGCTTCTTACTGTGATCCACGCGTGACTGGGGAAAACTTCGCATTTCTCCAACCAGTTATTTGAGACATCCCGGCATTCAGCAATCGGAAGCTCGAATTATTGTTACAGAGAAGCGTCAATCTTTACAGGAAGCAACTCTCGAGGACCGTGGACCTTGCGATGATGAAAGTCGACATCATGGAGCAGACTCGGACCAAACCTGCTTCCACCGTTTATCCTTGGATGGACACTGAAAATGTCACTGCGCACTTGAGGAAATGTTTCAAATCCGTTTATGACAAAGTCAAGTTAGTGAACGGCCGGGTGGACGGCATGGAAGCGCAAATGACGCATCTCAAACAGCTTATCGAAGACGTCAAGACAAAGTCCGAAGCGGACATCCAGGGACTGCAAGGTGATGTTGATACTCAGAAGGCGCAGAATCAGCAGCTGCGAAACGAACTGGATGCTGAGAGGGATCGAAACCAGCGACTGGAGACTACGATCAACAATTCGCAACAGTCAATCACCCGAATTGATCAAAAGTCACATGATCTCTCCAACCAGTTCTGTGCCCAGAAGACTATCACTACCGCAAATTTCCAAAGGACAGACGACTCGTGTCAGAATCCACTCAGCGGATCGACTCGCTGGAACGGTCTGGCAATACCTACAGTCAGGACATCCTGGAGCTTAGAGAAGACCTAGGAGATCGCTTCAGGACAGCATTGGTTCATACCCAAGAATCTTTGCACCACAACCAAGCCGCCTATATCAATGGTCTAGGACTCCTCAGAAATGAGACGGCGGAAAAGCTCGCTACTCTGACAGATCACCTCTCCACCGCTGTTGATACCGTGCAGGCACAATCCCGCGAGCATACGGAAGCGTTCGAAAAGACCGCTCTGGTTCTGGACCGTAACTCTCAGCGTATGAAAGATCTCGGAAATGCGATGGTAGAACCACAGTTCCTGGAAGGCATGAAACACCGCGTCGAAGAGCTTGAGAATGCTGTGGAATCACATGATGCGGCACTGCAAGCTTCTCAGGCTATGACGACCAGACTCGATTCCCTAGATGCCCGCCTGGGCGTGTCGGAAGTCGCTATCAAATCCATTCAAACGCCGAGTTTGAAACCTCCGACTACCGCAACAGCTACTTCTGCTCTGGACAGCCTTCGGAACAAGCTTGATGCAATCGACCTGTGCATGAAGAACGAAGTTGCCTCAGTTAGGACCTGCAAAGAACGACTCGTTGCATTGGAAAAGCACCGCGGTACCGCAGCGTCTCGCAAACTTGACAATAGGGTCTGCGTATTGGAAGAGAACTACGGCAAGATGCGCAATGACCATACAGACATGACCGCCAAGTGTGTTACCCACGAGCAGTTAGCTGCAACAAGGGATTACCTTGCGACCTCTCTCAAGAGAGTGGTTGAGGACAACGTATTCCCAGTGAGTACCTACTGTATAATGTCCAAGATGTCTGCTTGAGATCGCATACTAATAGAACACATCAGCAGTTGATCCAAGGCCCAGAAGTGGCACAGCCTACTCGAGCACAAGCACCACAGTCGGCGTATCCATCACCGCCGGGAACGAATCTGACACACCCTGGACCGACGCGTGATACCTGGCCACCAAATACACCGTCCACTCCGGTGGCGTTCCAACAGGCTTTAATACATATGTAGCACGCACTGGCACTTGCAGGGAATGCTGTGTCTGAAGTTAGGCAAGGAACTCAACCAGTCGCCGATACCATTGATCTCACTGGACCTGGACAACCCACGTTCTTTCGACAGATTCCTAAGAATCGACAACGAACTGAGCGATCGGAGCAGCAGGAGGCTCAGCAATTAACGCAACAGCAAGTGCAACAACAAGCTCAACAACAGGCTCAGCAACAGGCACAGCGACCGGCACAACAAAAACATCTGAATCAACATCCTCCATCAATTGCCATGGGCGTCATGCAGCAAAGGCCAGAACCGGGAATGCAAATGGAATGGTCATCCTAAGGTCATCACGATGTGCGATTGCCCATGAGACGGCAATCACAATAGGCTGGGGGTGATACCATGTATTTGGATGCACAGATTACTGAGATCCTAGAATCTGAGTGAAATGCATCAGTGGAAACCTAGGGGTGAATAGGTGATGTGTTGGGCGCTGTAGAAGGGGTTTAGCTCATATGCTATGGTATACTTATAACCTATTTATACGTCTTAATGCGTATGAGAGTGACGTGTGTCGAAGTGATGTCCCATCACGAAGCCAGAGTCTTTCACCACACTGGCATTACGATAGCGATATCAGTGTCGTAAGGACGATGATGACGTGATAGTATGGGTGACGCTTGACTCATCGCCGCGCTAATGCATGCTGTAGTATATTGTATTTTACATTTTTACTGTTTACTTCTTATCACGGCGCCTAGTTCTTGGGCTTGTACTCTGAGGGGTTGACCATAAGCTCGGGCCTGACGTACTTGTCAAAGTCCGACTCGCTGATGACCTCGAGCTTGAGCGCAGCCTCCTTGAGCGTAAGGTTGTTCTTGTGGGCGTATTTGGCGGTCTTGCTAGCGGCGTCGTATCCGATGACGGGGTTGAGGCAGGTGACGAGCATGAGACTGCGTTAAGTTAGCTATGTGATGACTGCGTAATTGGAACAAAGGCACTTACCTCTCGCTCATGATAGAGCTGATGCGCTTCTCATCCGCCTCAAGACCAGCAACGAGGTTCTTCTCGAAACTTCTCATGCCGTCGGCGAGCAGACGCGAGCTGTGGAGCAGGTTGCGGATCATGACGGGCTTGAAGACGTTGAGCTCGAAGTTACCCTGGGATCCAGCGAAGGTGGTAGCGGCCTGGTTACCGAAGACCTGGGCGCAGACCATGGTGAGGGATTCGCACTGTGTGGGGTTGACCTTTCCAGGCATGATGGAGGAACCGGGCTCGTTCTCGGGCAGCTTCAGCTCACCGAGACCGCATCGGGGGCCAGAGCCGAGGAAACGGATGTCTTGGGCGATCTTGAACAGAGAGGTTGCGAGGGTGTTGAGCTGGCCGTGGGCCTCGACGATGGCGTCGTGGGCAGCGAGCGCTTCGAACTTGTTGGGTGCCGTGACGAAGTCCTTGCCGGTCATTTTGCTCACTTCCGAAGCAATGTCCTCTGCGAAACCCTTGAAGGTGTTGATGCCAGTTCCGACGGCGGTTCCGCCCTGGGCCAGCATCTTGAGGCGCGGAAGACAGGTCTTTATCCGCTCAATGCCAAAATCGAGCTGCTGTACGTAGCCAGAGAACTCCTGGCCGAGGGTCAGGGGTGTGGCATCCTGCAAGTGTGTCCTGCCAATCTTGATCAAGCTCTCCCACTGGTCGGCCTTTTTCTTCAGCGCGTCCCTCAGGCTGGCAAGGGCGGGCAGGAGCGACTCCTCAAAGTCGAGAACGGCGGCGATGTGCATGACGGTGGGAAAGGTGTCGTTAGACGAGGCGGACATGTTGACGTGGTCGTTGGGGTGGACGGGCTTCTTGGAGCCCATGGTGCCGCCGAGGATCTCAATGGCGCGGTTGGAGATGACTTCGTTCGCGTTCATGTTGGACTGGGTGCCGGAGCCCGTCTGCCAGACAACGAGGGGGAAGTGGTCGATGAGCTTCAGCGAGGCCACCTCCTCAGCGGCCTGCTGGATAGCCTGGCCGAGCTTGGGGTCCAGCCCAAACTTCATGTTGACCGTGGCAGCGGCGCCCTTGAGGATACCGAAGGCGCGCACAATGGGCGGCGGCATGCGGTCCTGGGGCTGGTTGATCTTGAAGTTCTCGAGCGAGCGCTCCGTCTGGGCGCCCCAGTACTTGTCCGACGGGACCTGGATCTCGCCAAAGGCATCGCTTTCGGTGCGCGTGTTGGCCATGGTGCTGGTGACGCTGAACTGGCGGCGCTGGAAGAGGCTCTGCGTCTTCAGCGGGGTACGAGGAGTGGTGGAGAGGGCACGCGTGCTGCGGGCACAGCAGAAGGAGGGGCTGGCCTTTGCATGTGCGAGTGATCGTAATGCTCCGGCCTCGGCGGCGCGGAGCTTCGTTGCGCTTCGGAACATGGTAGCAGCAGCTGCTGGCGGGGGGCAGGATGGAGGGAGGGGGTGGAGAAGACGCCGAATTGGCTAATGGAGTGCGCAGCGGAACTAGAGCGCAAGTCGCAAGTCAAAAGACAGAAGATGGATAATTGGGATAATTGCTGCGACGCAAAATGCTGCCGTTCCGAGCTCTGACCTCATGCTCGCGGGAATTGCCTCCGGTCTCTCCCGCGGCATAACTCGCCGTCACATGACTGGCGGGGTGCCAAGCCCAGAGTGGATGAAGGCTCCAAGAACGCAAACTTGAGCATGAAAGAATGTGGTCGGCGTGAATTTTCTGCTTACTTGTACCGCCAGCTCAGAGTACCGCCGCTCAGCACCATGTTCTCCTGCCGCTCGCCTTCCGCACTCCGGCGCCAAAGCCTCAGCATTCCAAGGTTAGCCCGTGATGCCTTCCGCATTGCAACGTCAAGCGTTCCGTCGCCTCGTCTGCGCTGATGCGGCGTCTCGCTCATGTCCCACAGCCCCGGCCAGCCACTGTTCCAACTTTTTCCATTACCTCGCGCAGGACGCTTGTAGGGCCGCGTCTATGCCCTCTGCTCGCGACTCTGGCTCACCCTCTGCATATATATGCTTTGGCCGCTCCGGTCGGGCTAGTGGAACCTCTGCATAGCCACCGATCAAAAGCTTCGGCATTATCGGGCACACCCTGTTGAGTGAAACACACCTCGTACCGAGAGCCTGTCCCTACCCAAACTTCCGCCTGCATCGCGCCGCTGGGTACGGCTGAGGGTCCGATTTATTGGGTGATGATGAGGGCTCCCGCATTCGATACTGACGATCTAGAGCTATGAGGGCAAACGACCAAGTACGTCTGGAAGCTAGGTCGCTGCGTGACGCCTGGAACCAGGTGCCCTGCGCTTTCCGTCTTCCGACGACTGGTCATATTAGATTAACGTAGCGAGTCAAGTCGGAGTGCACCTGATCTGTCTCCACCATCCTTTCGATCCATGCTGGGCGCTCGCCTTCGAGCGTGCCAACGTAACATGGAGCTAATAACCCCTCATCTTCACCTACGGCCCAGTTCCAGCCTCCACAAACACTCCTGTTTGCATCTGCGGTCTGCTGTCTTTTGCAGCCTGCTATTGTGTCTTCAAGCTCACTCCACCTTTGCATTACTCCGTCCGTGAAGCACGGCTTCAGCTGGGCCGCACGTACTTGCTTAGCCGCAGATAAGGCTCCCATGACGCTGATCGAGCCTTCTACCACGAACCCCTCTGCCCAACGACTGCCTCAATCAAGGCCGAGTTGTTCTGACAGTTGTTCGCAATCGATACACGATAGCGTCAACATCCGCGTCCCTCCAGACCTTTGCTCGCCACCGATCGACACAGCTTACGAAACGACACAGCTCGTGAAAAAAGGTGCAAGACGTCTGTGGAACTGCTCGTATGGCTGAGTCTGAATACGGCGCCGGTCCCTGGGTTCACGATAGGATAGGCGCTCGAAACTCAGATGCAGAGCTGACTGCCCCGCTTCTCGCCGCGCATACACCGTTCCAACAACAACTGCCAACGTTGTATCGAAATCCATACATGTCCAATAGCAGCCCCTCCATGTCTCAGGCTCAGGATGCACCAAATGTGTCTACCAGCAGCCACCCACAATTATGTCCAGCTTTGCCACCTATTGGAATGCGTCACCACTACTATGCTCCTCATGCACACTCGTACCAGTTCACAAACCCTCAAAGACCATCGCAAACCTGGAATGGGCCTCCGCACCTTTATCCCGGCCAGGCATTCTACGACCCTTCTCAGGGTGACCAGCTGCGCCATCATTTAGGAGCACCGGGTCACAACTTTCCGCTACTAGGGTCACCACATGCCGCGCCTCCCTCGAATCCCCGACATCGTCATGATTACAGAAGACACGATCACAGAATGAGTGCCGGGGCGGTGGCAGGTAGTATGCCTACTGACAATACACGCTTCCCTGAAGCACGGGGTTCAGTAGCACCCCCGGAAGCCCGGTTTCAGCATCCGCGACCGCCACTTCAACAAGCAGTCCACCCAGGTGAGGCACTGTATTCTGGATTGCCTGAACGTCCGTGGCCGTCACACGAGGTTCCAAGCCGCCGCTCAGACCGTAGCGTATCCCCGCGCACGTCGAATCGCCGTAACTTTGAACGATACTCGGTTGACCTCTCCCATTCCAGCACGTCGTCTGACGCAGAAGAAGCGGCTGCCCGTGCGCCGCCGCTGAGTCGTATGAGGCATCGATCCAGAGAAGTGCGGCCGCGTATCGCGGGCCGCTACCCGCCTCAATTCGATCCCAACATTGCTACCGCTCGCCAAATTGATCAATTGAAAAGCAGTCTTCAGCGCCATCTACCAAGTACGCTTCCAGAGAAAGCGTCCAAGGCTTGTGACATTTGCCAGAAAGACTATGCCGCTACACGCGTGTCGCCTACAGAAGAGGAAGAAATTGCGATTGAGCTCTCGTGTGGACACACGTTTGGAGAGTTCTGCATAAGTCAATGGGTAAGTGGTAGTCGCTTGGAGATAGCAGATGCTTGCTCACATGACCTAGTTTGATACGTGCAGAACACACAAGAACAAAGTTACCTGCCCCATGTGTCGGAAGCAGCTCATCGAAGCACCAGCACCCCGATTCATGCCGAGCATGATGCAGGGGCAAGCGTTTCTTGATCTGCTCGCTCGCCAGAATATGCACGTCACTGATCTCTACGGCCACTTTCAGCAGGCGTGAGCGCTGTGAGGAAAATGACTCAGGATGCGAT